TTTGGTAGACTGGGACAGCAGGTTCGATAAACTGGAACACCATTATTATAGTCCTAATTGTACCCCAATGACAATTCAATTCAATTTTATGTGATTAGGAAATGTATCATGTGTTGGGCTAATATGTTGGATAGATGTCTGAAGAGGTTACAGAAGATGGAAATGCAAAAAGTGTCACACTTTTTCCTGAATTCACTCAAATTACCAGTGGGGGCTGGTGGGAGGAGCTATAGGAGGACGGGCTCAATGTAAAGGCTGGAATGGATATATGGAACGGTATAAAACACATCAAATATATGTAAACCACATGTTTGACTCCGTACCATTTATTCATTTCCAGCCATTACAATGAGCCCGTCCTCCTATAGCTCCTCCCACCAGCCTCCACTGCAAATAACAGTACTAATAACAGTACTACAAGAAGAACTGAACAGGATATAGTACTACAAGAACCAGAGCCCTGCCTAACCTAAGTACACGGGGTCTCTTTTCTCCATTGGAAAAGCCTATAAAACTGTCCCACTTTAGCTACTCCATGCTGTCCTACTTTAGCTAGCTATGGTTGGTAAACCAAAACAATGACTGAATTACAAAACATAATATTGACAACTTTTTCATGTGTTTTGATGCATATTCACATCAGAATTTGGCATTATTTATGACAGTTTTCTAACCTTAACATCAAAACAGAAAAAAAGCTATGTCACTGATCTTAGGAAACACTCTATTTAATGCATGTCAATACTGAAATGACTTTTTTGTAGCAGGTTAGGAGAACTTAAGCAGCATGTTAGAAGAATTAACGTAGCAGGTTAGGAGACTGAGGTTAAGGTTAGGAAAAGAGTTAGGGTTACGGAAAATGCTCTCCTAACCTGCTACTAAAATCACTTTGTATGGAAGTGCTGTGAAAAGAGTGTGGGTGTGTTCGAGCAGATCACTTTTGTCAAGTCGGTCACCGCCTTTCAAGGTGAGTTGCATTATGGGGATAACAATTGTCCAACTTGCACCTACATGTCGACTGTATGAACTTTACAAAAATCATTGCTTCAAAGGTCATGAGGTTTTGACTGCAGTCAACTACAAGCTTCTGCAGTTACTCTTCACCAACAGCCATCACCTGCATTGTGGGAGGCTCTATGGTCAACCAATCATTAGGGTATTTTTGTTTGACCCACGCCAATGTGACCAAAGAGATGACTGAAACAGGAACCAACTTTGCAGCGATTCATACAGTGGAATGAACCTAATATTTAAGTCTCTCTCTCACTAATTGATTGTACAATGTACACACCAGAGGAGGCTGGTGGGAGGAGCTATAGGAGGTTGTATTAGCCGCGTTCATGTGTTAGTCGGAACTAGGAAACCTGGGAAATGTCCGACTTGCTAACTGGTTGAACGCAGCACGGCACGTGTATAACTACAACCAGTTAGCATGTCAGAAACTTCAGAGTTCCTAGTTCCGACTAGTATGTGAACGCGACATTAGGCCTACCATTCAAACGCCCTGTGTCCCCACTGATTTTACAATGTGCTTTGCCGGGTGAGCTTCCTGTTCACTTACTAGTTGGAACTAGGAAACTCTGAAATGTCCAACTTGCCAACTGGTTGAACGTGGCACGTGTATAACTAAAAATCTGACATTTCTGAGTTTTCTATTTCCGACTAGCACCTGAATGCAGCATTAGTAACAATAGTTTTGATTTTCTCTTGTTAGAACAAGAAATAAACTTGTCAGGATTAAGATGTGCCAGTTTATATGATGTCACAATCTCTCCGAATTCACTCTATGCTTTGTCTTTACCAGGATTTTTTTTATTTTTCTTGCACAACTAATCAGTAGTGTTACCATGTTGGGTTGGTAGGCTTCAAGTTTTGCCATTTGGAATGTCCATTTCCTACCGGTAGACGGTAAATCTCAATTCTCGGGATTAACCTGCGGGTTTCAATGTGAGGCTGGAGTTTCACCCCACCCCCTTTCAAGGAACGCCATTTTGTTGACGTTCCATCCACCTCCAATGAGTCTCTCCAACATCAAAAGGACAGTAGGCTACTGTGCGTTTTCAACTAATCGCATAGGTTTTCAATGACATAGTTTATTCCCCGTTATAATTTATATGGATTTCAAAATTGATCAACCCTGCTAACGCTTGACCGTAGATGGACACACTGCCATGTTACAGACAAGGCTGCTCTCTTCCATTCCTTTGGACCGTGCAATCCGGGATCCTTGGAACGTCCATACCCCCCCCCCATTAAAGTTTAAATGTAAGGGTTAAGGTTAGGTAAGGGTTATAGTTAGGGTAAGGGTATGGGGTTAAGATTAGGGTTTAGGGTAGGGACGTCCCTTTCAACCGGACCACCCCTTTCAACAGGTCATGTCTAGATGGGATACAGTTTTTCCCAAATTGACGTCAAAAGCAGATGTATTATTTTATTTCAGCTAACCCTAACCCTTTTCCTAACCTTAACCTACATTTCCTAACCGGTTACGTTAATTCGCCTAACCTGCTGCGTAAATTCTCCTAAACCTGCTACGAAAAGTCCATTCTGACAAAAACTGTATCCCTTCTAGACAAAACCCTTTCAACCTGCTGCTCCGTGGATGACGAATGACGTCATCAAGCCATCATTGTTCTCATAACCCAAGCGTCTGTTTATTACATGTTCATTACAGTAGTGACACAGGGGAGACTAGCGGGTAGCTGAGTTATAATAAAAATACATTGGCAAGGTGCGGCATAAAATAAGCGCACGAACTGAGAAAAGGGAACATTTACAAGGGGGGAATAAAAGCAACTTGGTGGTAAACATTATCACTCCCTCCCATAGAAAACGCCAGAAGAGTGAATCGACTGAGAGGGAGCGAGAGGGAAAAAGAGAAAAAGAGCGCTGAAGGCAACCCACTCAACAGCCACTTATTAGGCGAATACATTCCAGTCGGACTTGCGTAGCCTGCATTAATAAACCACCATAAGAAATGTAAGTATTACACTGTTGCCTCCTTGTGACGATTATTTTCTTTGTGTGCCTATTGTTATGTCTTGGCCTATGTGTTTTTATTTATCCGTGGTCGGTGGATAGCAGGATGCAAGCCTATTTGTTGTTCAGAAATGGTTTTAGAAAGCCAATTAAATGAACAATTGTCTCCAAGGCATATAGGCCTATTGTATTTTAATCGTGCGTCAGGGTTAAATAACCCTATAATTACACGATCATTGTGTTGATTTACTACTGAATGTTTATTTATGGACATTTACTGACTATACACATAGGCTAAATAGCATCCAACATTCGCCTATAGGCTATTCCATAGGCGTCGAATAACGGTTAGGCAACTCTTTGGCGGTTGGCCCCTGTTGTCAGCCACATTTCTTTACGAAATATTCAGTCATGTTGGCTAGTTATGATGAGTTAGTTATATGTATTCAAATGTCAAATATATATGTTCTCATCATTGGAATTGGGCACGCACGCCTTTTCTCGGGATTGGACTGGTTTGATTTGAATGGGTTGACGTGCGTGTGTTCGTCTTAATATCCATTTGAAAATTGAAATTGGAATTGAAAGTAGAAACCTACACATTTCTAATTTGCTTATTTGGACGTATGCATTGGTTTCTGCCACAAATGAATGCATTGGCCTACGGCTAAATATACACTTATTATAGGCTAAGCAACTTGGACCTAATAACACATTTTCTACCATTCAACATGTTGAACATCTTATTAGAGAAGCAACAAATCAAAATTATCTAGGATGTTAATGGATGTAGTAGGGTAGACTATTATTAGCCATATTGTGGGCTTAGCCTACGTGATATTGCTAACCAACTGTGGGGGTGGGGGTAACTGACGCTCATATCTGTCGATTGTCACGCATGGACTGCCAATTAAATGTAGCCTATTTTATTTTATGTTTCAAGGGTACACCGGGGATGTGGCCGTTTCCGCTCATTTCCTTGAAAAGCTATACCATGTTCAGTCGTCTGAGGTTGTTTTTGTTTAGCGACTGCTAGGCTACAGGACGCAGGTGTTTCACTGCCAGGGAAGATGGCCGTGGCATTCTTTTCTCTGTCGATTCGTGCATAGAAACAAGCTGTTGAAACAGACGACATCTCATTGAGGCCAAGCAACAAATGTTAGTGTTACATCTTCAACATGCTGTTGATAAACACATGTAGCCATACGAATTGTTCTCCTATTTTCTCACTGTAATGCCCGCGATAAATTGGTGGTGACATTGCTTTTAGACGAAACTCAGGACCACCCTCACCATTTCAACAAATATGAAACACCCCTTAATAAAATAAAAAAAGCTAACTGTAATGGAGAAATGTTGAGGAACCATGCAACGCCCGTGCCAAGGCTATATCCTACTTTTCAGCACAGGACAGCGCTGCCTGTCGCTGTCTTCCCCAACAGTGCTGAAACAGACTTGCAGACTAGAGGGTTTTTGTGGCTATGGTGTGTATGCGCGCTGTCTCGTAATGGGTGAGAGACGATTTGTAAATGCTTCATCAGAATGTTCATGGCAATCGGCCATATACAGCCCATAAAGCAGGGAAGAAAGACATGTGTTTAATGTAGTCGCCTATTAATAACAAGTGGCCGATCGTCGTGTCTGTATAATAATTAAGAAGAGCATGCCAGCTGTTTTCAAAGGGAATAAGACCATTTTACTGGCCAATGTCTTGACAAGGGACCTTTTTTTTCGCCCTGTTGGTGGAGGACGTTGCAAATGTGAGGTAAGCCTTGCCCTGGGTTTCCCCCAGACTTCTGTCGACACTCCATTACTCTTATTTGATAGCCTACACAATCCATTTCGTCGTGCCCTTTGAATATGTTCCCCGTGCACACACACAATCCGCCCTCTTCTTTTATCTGAGGCCCTGAGAAAACAATGGTTGGTCTAGCAATGTGGGGAATGATGTACAAAACACACAAGGGGAGTTGACAATAACGTCCTCGTCCATCGTTCATCTCGCTTATGCTCGCGGCACAATGACGATGGCCTCTTCCGCGGAGAAGGTGAAAGAGTCTGGTTAGGATGGCCTCTAAAAATAGAATTGTTGTAAACGACATGAGAAAGAACACAACCGTCCTAAACATCAACATAATGGAGTCTCCTAGTAAAACACACAATATTTGGGTAGCATAATGATTATTGTGGCAAGATGACTCAACCCAGCAAATGAGTGTTTCCAGACAGCGCTTGCTTTGGACTGATAAAGGCAAACGAAAACATCATGAGTGTACAGAAGGATTTGTAGCCACATGGGGATTCGCTCTGTGTATCGCGGCCTTAAAGGTGACCTTTATACTGAGTTTTGTCTCACTCTGGTGGAGGAAGTGGGTCACTACAGGCAGGAAGCAGCCTCAAATGTAGTTGAGAAACCAGATTGAACGTGCTTCAAAGTCGATGCTGTGCATTATTTACTACCCACGTATCCTTAAATTGTGAACCTATGATTGTACTATAATGAAAAGGCTACAGACACTTCAAATTAAATACCAAGTTGAGCTTGATACTCACTCTCACATACAGTATGTAGGCTAGAGATATTATGAACAATAGTACTTCCCTAAAGCATGAATCCATTTATAGTACAGTGTATGACCCCAGCTTGGGGGTGCAGTTACAGTTACATGACTATTGCTCTACATGGGTGCTGGAAATACTGGAGGGACACAATACACTCCATTACCAAACTGAGACACAAGAAAAGGATGCCTTCTCTTTGATATACGTATGTTACTCAGCTCCATGGTCCACACAGTGAGTTACTAACACAGCTCAGCTCCATGGTCCACACAGTGAGTTACTAACACAGCTCAGCTCCATGGTTCACACAGTGAGTTACTAACACAGCTCAGCTCCATGGTTCACACAGTGAGATACTAACACAGCTCAGCTCCATGGTTCACACAGTGAGATACTAACACAGCTCAGCTCCATGGTTCACACAGTGAGATACTAACACAGCTCAGCTCCATGGTCCACACAGTGAGTTACTAACACAGCTCAGCTCCATGGTTCACACAGTGAGTTACTAACACAGCTCAGCTCCATGGTTCACACAGTGAGATACTAACACAGCTCAGCTCCATGGTTCACACAGTGAGATACTAACACAGCTCAGCTCCATGGTTCACACAGTGAGATACTAACACAGCTCAGCTCCATGGTTCACACAGTGAGATACTAACACAGCTCAGCTCCATGGTTCACACAGTGAGATACTAACACAGCTCAGCTCCATGGTTCACACAGTGAGATACTAACACAGCTCAGCTCCATGGTTCACACAGTGAGATACTAACACAGCTCAGCTCCATGGTTCACACAGTGAGATACTAACACAGCTCAGCTCCATGGTTCACACAGTGAGTTACTAACACAGCTCAACTCCATGGTTCACACAGTGAGTTACTAACACAGCTCAGCTCCATGGTCCACACAGTGAGATACTAACACAGCTCAGCTCATTGGTTCACACAGTGAGTTACTAACACAGCTCAGCTCCATGGTCCACACAGTGAGATACTAACACAGCTCAGCTCCATGGTTCACACAGTGAGATATTAACACAGCTCAGCTCCATGGTTCACCCAGTGAGTTACTAACACAAATTCAGCAGGACTATCAGATCAATGGGGGCACGCAAAGGAAGGACTACCCGGCATACTCCATTGCATCATAGTGTTTTGGGCCTTGCCAGTGGGCTTTACAGTGCCTTGACATATTTTTAACAACTAGGCCTAATGGTAGATTCATCTAGCCTATAGTCAAGGTTTTGAAAAAAATAACAACTGCATTGTGATCAGAATGAAAATAAAGACACCACATTCAGATAGTTTGGTGAGAAGGAATGAGTTATTGTACCCAGTTGTAGCTGGTCAAAATAGATGGTCAGAATAGATTGATAGGACCAGACTTGTAGTAATTGTGTCAGGATCTTTGATTGTCGTCCATTAGTTTCCCCTTAGCAATGCCAGCTGAGGGTTGTAGGACAGGATGGTATGTCTGCCAGATATGATATGCAGAATATATGGGTCGTCTTCATGTTTCCTTTAGGAGGATGCAGTTAGGACAGATAGTATGCAAGCCAGTCATTATGATTAGCTTTCTTTCTATTGTCTTGTAAAACATTTGATTCCTGGTTTTAATTAGAGGGAGCATAATTCAGATGCCTTCTTTTTTTTAGTCATTTTTTAGCAGACGCTCTTATCCAGAGCGACTTACAGGAGCAATTAGGGTTAAGTACCTTGCTCAAGGGCACATCGACAGATTTTTCACCTAGTCGGCTCGGGGATTAGAACCAGCGACCTTTCGGTTACTGGCACAATGCTCTTAACCACTGAGCTACCTGCTGCCCCATAGAATGTGATGGTTTGAATAAATTAATTCAGAACCTCACTGAATGTGCTTTAGTAGTGGGTGTTATGAATACAGTAGAAAAGGGCCGTAAGCACAACGGATACGCATAATTGTATTTCATGCTTGGTGGATCCTTTTATTCAGGCCCTTGGATCCTGGTGTTGGATGTTACTGTTCTCTTTTTTATTCAGTATTTGTAAACCATTCAGCCTGTTGTTGAGGCTCATTAAAGAGAGATATTCTGCCTCCTTTTCCCATCATCCAGTCATCATAAAGCTGTTGACTTGATCCAAACCTATAACGTTGAGATTCTTTCTCAGTGAGTACTGTGACGGTAAATAATTCCAAGCAGCTATGATTTGATAGTAACTTATCTGTACTTCTATGTACCAAAGGGATAGGTTGGGCTATTTCAGTAGATGCATGCATTACTACATGGGCATTCTTACATCATTGAAGGTGAATAGACTGATGAGTTGTGTTTGATTGACAGGTCTGCCCCAGCTGCTGCCGGCGCCCCCGCAGATGGAGCGGCGCCCCCTCCCAACCTCACTAGCAACCGCCGCCTGCAACAGACACAGGCTCAGGTGGATGAGGTGAGTAACATGCAGACACACTCACCTTGCATTACGCACATACTGACCCACAGAAATATCATAACCTTCTTCACATGTTGTGAATAGTCACAAGCCGACATGGACTGGATGAATGCATGTCCAACACACTTAGGTCAACAATCAATACATTATGTAAATATACTGTGGAGAGAACACACAGCCACTCAGTCTGAGTTGATTGAGTGATTCACCCTGCCCCTGTTTTCGGCCCATGTGTCTGCCCTCCACAGGTGGTGGATATCATGCGTGTAAATGTGGATAAGGTTCTGGAGCGTGATCAGAAGCTGTCAGAGCTGGATGATCGAGCCGATGCCCTGCAGGCTGGAGCCTCACAATTCGAGACCAGCGCTGCAAAACTCAAGAACAAGTACTGGTGGAAGAACGCCAAGGTAAGGGCTGAGATAGATAAAGATGTACTTTGGTCCATATTTAGTCATGATAATAGTCATTTCCTTTGAGGCTTTCAAGATGAATGTTAAAACATAATGAAATGGATTGTAGCACATAAATGATACCTCATGATTTACCTCATGTCCCATCCACCCTGATTTACTACCTCTCCATGTCCAACTGCCTTAATTTTGCTGGACCCCAGGAAGAGTAACTGCTGCCTTGGCAGCAGCTAATGGGGATCCATAATAAATACAAAAATACAAAACTTTGCTTCCTTTAGATGATGATTATCCTGGGGCTGATATGTGCGATTGTCCTCATCGTCATCATCGGTAAGGGTCACACTCACACTCTCAGTTAAGATATACTCTCTGCTTCAGTATTAGTTTTTTTTCTCACCCTCTCTTCTCTTTCACTTTCACTTTCCCTTTCTCTCTCTCTCTCTCTCTCTCTCTCTCTCTCTCTCTCTCTCTCTCTCTCTCTCTCTCTCTCTCTCTCTCTCTCTCTCTCTCTCTCTCTCTCTCTCTCTCTCTCTCTCTGTTTTTCTGTCTCTCTAGTCTACTTCAGCACCTAAGATGAGTGGCTCCTACCCCAGTCTGCACTCGAGACTGCCCGCTTCCTTGCAACAGAAAATCCTTCAAATCAGCGAAGAAATTATCCACTGATGATGAATTAATTAAATTGCTCCCTAAATAGTCTCAATATGACCCTGCCCTGAACCCCCTCAGCCCCCGCTTCCACCGCCTCACCTCTGGACCCCTGTCAATATTCGTCCTGTGAGTCTGTGGCCCTTCCTCCATTGTAAATACTTCCTGCTTTTCTAATCTGTCGTTCATATTCAGAACCCAATACTTGTTGTGATTGTTACCGATGACAACAACAGAAAAAGAAAATGATGACCCTGGCGATAATTGTTATATACCAGATATGAATATATATATAGTTATTTGTAGAGTTTTATTCTGATATAATGTTTTTGTAGGTTGTGTGTGGGTGTGTGTTTTGTATTTTTTAATTTTTGTATTAATTTTACTTATGCTTCAGATTTGAACTACTGCCTATTAATCAGAGTGTGTATATCTTGCAATTTCTCTCTCACTGTCTCTGCCTGTCTCTGGCTTTCTCTGTCTTGCTCTGTCTCCCACAGAGTATAGGTGCATCTTTGCAGAGTGGAGTTAGTCTCCTTTAACCGAGGTACTTCATCAATATTCCCATCCTTCTCTCTCTCTTTTTCTCTTTCTCTCTCCTACACCATTTAGCCATACTGTCTCTTTAGAATCATTTTATCCTTTCTCTTTCTTTATGTCTCTCTTTCCCTGCCTCTCTTTTCCCAATCATGTACCTTCTCTTTATAAACTGCCAATAGAATTGGACCAATGTCTGTAGATGTTTTTTATTTTACTTATTTAGTGTCTTATTTCGAGAACATTCCTCCATTGCTGTGTAGTAAAAATGCTGTCAGTGTAGCACATGTATGTGTAAGTATCTTTAAAAAATGAAAATAGATATATAAAGTGATCGTAAATATTATCGCCGATATCAATCTAACAAGCCAGAGTTGGGAAAATAACAATATTGATTAAAAAATGAGGGCTTACTAGTTTTTGTTTGGTGGATCAGGATTTTAACCTGTTTCATTTTTTCATTTCAGCAACATAACATTGAATAAAGTTGCTGTGACAATGCATCAATTCTACATAGATGGTCATTACTAACAAAGACCTAAAAAGCATACTTACACTAAGGGATCAAAATGAGGACACTATAAAGCCTTAGTCTCTAATCAAAACTTATCACATTGATGATTTTTACGGTCAAGATATTCCCATACACTCTTTATTTTGTGTAGGGGGAGAGGTTGACTGAAAAGGGTGAGGCGGTGTGAAATGCACAAAGAACCTTGTTTCTGATGGCGCTGTCTGGCTGGTCAACAGCATGACCAGCCGAGAGAGAACCTCATGCAGCAAAACCTCACCTATTGATGAGCACATACACAGACAACTCCGCCTTATTTGAAAGTATTAAGATGGATGAAGCAACTGGCATGGACACACAATAGTAGAAAAAGATGATCTAGAGAAAGGGTCTAACTTGGCCCATGCTTCATTGACAGATTAAGAGTTGCTGTAAAACTTAAGTGAACTTTCCAAGAAACGTCATGAAAAGCAGTCTTACTATACACACAAGCTAAAGTGAGCGTTTAGCTAGTGCACTGGTTCTCTCTATCTTTCTTACATTTTCTCCCTAGTTACTGCCTTTTAATTTTTTTAACATAGTAATAGAGTATATTTTATATAGTATATTTTTGTGTTTGTGTGAAGCAGACAGGTAAAGAGGAGACTGAAGTCAATCAGGACTTCTCTACCTCTGTGCGTTGTGTGTGTGTGTCTTTTTGCGATTCAGCTCTGTAAGTTAAACACTGCCAAGCAACTAGGGAGAGGCTTTTATTTTCTGCTATTTTCTCATTAGTGCCCTTACTGATTTGTTCTTAGTGGATTGCTCTTGCATGGTCACCTTTTGTCCCATGCCCCTGTATAGGCCTACCTGTTTCTAGTGCTGTCTGTTTCTACCACAGGAGGTTGGTGGCACCTTAATTGGGGAGGACGGGCTCGTGGTAATGCCTGGAGCGGGATCAGTGGAAGGGTATCAAATACATCAAACACATGGTTTGATGCCATACCATTCGCTCCGTTCCAGTCTTTATTATGAGCCGTCCTCCCTTCAGCAGCCTCCACTGGTTTCTAGTGCTATCTGTTTCTAGTGCTATGTATCTGCCAGCTCTGTTAGTCTACGTTATGAGTAGTAACAGAAAGACTACTGGACCTGTGGATTATACAGTTGTTCTCATAGGTTAGGCCACTTTAACATGACCTCTTGCCCTCTGTCCCACCAGATCTGCATACGTTCTACCCTCCTATTTCTCCTCTGTCCCCAGCCCCCCTCAATGATTCAGGATCCTACACTGGGAATGTGTGTGTTGGTGAAGCTCTGCCCGTCCTGGGAATATCCTTAGTTTATCCTGACAGATTAGGCCGCTTACACTTCAGCAGTGAGGGCAAGCTGTTTCCATGACAACTAAATTAGATGAGCAGATTTGGAGGTAACAGATCAGCCCACTGACTGTCTTTCAGACTCGTAAGATTTTCCATATTTGTGCTCAAGGAATATTCCTATGCTACATGTACACAGATATTCCCTTGCTCTCTCTCTCTCTATCTCTCTCTCCCCCCCCCCCCCCCTCTCTCCTCTCTCTCTCTCTCTCTCTCTCTCTCTCTCTCTCTCTCTCTCTCTCTCTCTCTCTCTCTCTCTCTTTCTATTCCTCTCTCCCTCTCTTTCACTATCTCTATCACACACATGTAAAAGGAAATGGTCTTAGCACATTATCTCCCTGTAAAGCATATCCCCCACCCCCACCCTTCCTCTTTATTCTACCTAACTAGAGCAAAACTAATTCAGAGGAAAATGACCAAAGACCAGATGTTCTTGCTTATGCTGCCAACTGCCATCAAAAACAAGTAGAGGGACACAACATATTTTACCTGAGTCACTTTAACAGCAATCGTACTCCCCTGTTTTTGAAAGCTTACCCTTAACCCAAAAGTCACATGACCTTTTAACCCTTTTAGATCTTATTCAATATGTCATATTGGCAAATAGATGGTGACATAATGTGCTATTTGAAGATATGCAAGAGAAACAAAACCTACAACAACAAAAAACGTGCTTCAGCCCCCTTCCTTAAGACTACTTTAATCTGTACCAAGTCTTTAGACACATTCTCCTATAACTAATAATAGCACAACTCCTCTTTTTGTGTGTCTCTGTAGTGCTGACAACAATTTCAAAATGAAATAAAATATTAACTTTATCTATCGCTGTTAAACAAAACAAACAAAACATGCATAAAAAAAGTCTGTATTGTTTGGTGTTGTAGTGTGGGGGTGTATTTGGGGGAAGGGGGGTCCTATTTCTTCAGGTCGGAGATTATAACAGTTCATAAAAATCTACTAGGTGAGGTGAAGAAACTACATGAAAGCTATATCAAAATTGGAATAGCAAATAATTATAATTTATTTTGAAGGTGACAAAAAGAGTGCCACCTTCGAGTTATTATCATCTCATAACACCACTGGTCGGGGTAGGACTCCTGTGTTGTTCACAAATCCAAGGGTTGTCCTAAAAGTGCTCAGCAAATTTAGATACAAAAATAGACAAATTGATGTTATGTGAGTGCTCGTTTTCTGTTGCTTTTTTAATATCCTGGCACTTTTTTCTGTTGTATTTTGGGGGGATAGGATATGCTGTGGTGGAGAATATTGTGTTATTGCCAACCCTAAGAGGTGTTCAGTGACTTCAACATAGGAGGGAACCTTTTGAGGCACTGGTCCTTCACGGGTCGGCTATAAAATCACAATGCTCTCACCAATACACATTCAATTTATTTCTATTTTTGGACCAAATGTTTTCTTTGTATTTTGCATAAAGTTAGTAATAACTTTGGTATGATGTCATTGGCTTAGGTTGTGTGTACATTGGAAGAGGAGGAAAGATTAAATAAAGGCTTGTTCTCTATGTTAATCGAGTCAGCCAAGTCAAGAAAAAGGGATGTTACTGGGAAAATAAATGTTCTTTTTACCCAGTCTAGTCAAATGTCCAGAATGCTTAGAAGGGTGTACAATTCAATCCAGATTCCTCTGTTGTTACTATGTTTATATTTTGTTTGAACTTCATTTTGGGGAGGGAATATTATTTTGTTATTTTGGGACTGGTGTTGGTGAGGTGACAGTCCACAATACCTCTGTTTGCCTGGCCTTTCAGGAGGGAATAGACTGGGGGATCATGGGTAATGTGTTCTGTTCAGTCTGTTTTATTTAATTTAGTGATTTATTTATTGTGTTTTTGTTTTGAATGGGATTGGATATTAAAAACAAGGTGGATTACAATGTACCAGAGGATACCAATTGAAAACCAGAAGTACGTAAAAAACAATTGTAGTGTAAATCAATCAATGTCTTGTTATATTGATGAACATCATGGAAATATATATATATTGGAAAAACAATAATTCTGATGACCTGTGTTTATTGTTCCCAGTGTGTGTGTGTGTGTGTGTGTGTGTGTGTGTGTGTGTGTGTGTGTTTGAAAACAATGATGACATTAAATAAAATGTGCTAAAATAAATATATGCTAAAATGGGTCCAAATACAATTGAACTGTGTTGTGTTGCAAACCATTTTTTTTTTGACTACAGATGTCATCAAGACAGGATGGTATACCTCACTTGAATTTAAGCTGGAAATAGATGAATCACACACTAAAAACATGAAATATCTACAATACAAGTTGTCTTCACCAACTCTTTTTTTTGCAGACAGCCAGGTATCTCATAGCCTTCGTGGAATGTATGAATCACACAATCTCTCACCTATTTAGGGCCTCATCATCCTGGAGAGAAGATGTGGAACATACAATGATATTTAGGCTAGATAGGGTTACTATGGGAGAGTGCCCATCCATGTTAGTCAAGACAACATTTATTGAGTGTTCAGATCACCAACAATATGAATCCACTCCAATAATCAGTGCATGAACCAAAAGGCCAAGGCAGAAGAAAGCAGTGTGGTCAGTACACTAAGATACATTTGGATGTAACATTAATTGTAATGGGCACAGCACATTCATAGAATTATTTTAACACAGATGTATACACTTTTGCCATAGGAAATATAGGTTTTAATCAACATTTCATTGGTTTGGCATGAGTGTTGAGGTATACAGTGGGGGAAAAAAGTATTTAGTCAGCCACCAATTGTGCAAGTTCTCCCACTTAAAAAGATGAGAGAGGCCTGTAATTTTCATCATAGGTACACGTCAACTATGACAGACAAATTGAGATTTTTTTTCTCCAGAAAATCACATTGTAGGATTTTTAATGAATTTATTTGCAAATTATGGTGGAAAATAAGTATTTGGTCACCTACAAACAAGCAAGATTTCTGGCTCTCACAGACCTGTAACTTCTTCTTTAAGAGGCTCCTCTGTCCTCCACTCGTTACCTGTATTAATGGCACCTGTTTGAACTTGTTATCAGTATAAAAGACACCTGTCCACAACCTCAAACAGTCACACTCCAAACTCCACTATGGCCAAGACCAAAGAGCTGTCAAAGGACACCAGAAACAAAATTGTAGAACTGCACCAGGCTGGGAAGACTGAATCTGCAATAGGTAAGCAGCTTGGTTTGAAGAAATCAACTGTGGGAGCAATTATTAGGAAATGGAAGACATACAAGACCACTGATAATCTCCCTCGATCTGGGGCTCCACGCAAGATCTCACCCCGTGGGGTCAAAATGATCACAAGAACGGTGAGCAAAAATCCCAGAACCACACAGGGGGACCTAGTGAATGACCTGCAGAGAGCTGGGACCAAAGTAACAAAGCCTACCATCAGTAACACTACGCCGCCAGGGACTCAAATCCTGCAGTGCCAGACGTGTCCCCCTGCTTAAGCCAGTACATGTCCAGGCCCGTCTGAAGTTTGCTAGAGTGCATTTGGATGATCCAGAAGAGGATTGGGAGAATGTCATATGGTCAGATGAAACCAAAATAGAAATTGTTGGTAAAAACTCAACTCGTCGTGTTTGGAGGACAAAGAATGTTGAGTTGCATCCAAAGAACACCATACCTACTGTGAAGCATGGGGGTGGAAACATCATGCTTTGGGGCTGTTTTTCTGCAAAGGGACCAGGACGACTGATCCGTGTAAAGGAAAGAATGAATGGGGCCATGTATCGTGAGATTCTGAGTGAAAACCTCCTTCCATCAGCAAGGGCATTGAAGATGAAACGTGGCTGGGTCTTTCAGCATGACAATGATCCCAAACACACCGCCCGGGCAACTAAGGAGTGGCTTCGTAAGAAGCATTTCAAGGTCCTGGAGTGACCTAGCCAGTCTCCAGATCTCAACCCCATAGAAAATCTTTGGAGGGAGTTGAAAGTCTGTGTTGCCCAGCGACAGCCCCAAAACATCACTGCTCTAGAGGAGATCTGCATGGAGGAATGGGCCAAAATACCAGCAACAGTGTGTGAAAACCTTGTGAAGACTTACAGAAAACGTTTGACCTGTGTCATTACCAACAAAGGGTATATATCAAAGTATTGAGAAACTTTTGTTATTGACCAAATACTTATTTTCCACCATAATTTGCAAATAAATTCATTAAAAATCATACAATGTGATTATCAGGATTTTTTTTCTCATTTTGTCTGTCATAGTTGATGTGTACCTATGATGAAAATTACAGGCCTCTCTCATCTTTTTAAGTGGGAGAACTTGCACAATTGGTGGCTGACTAAATACTTTTTTCCCCCACTGTATATCCCCTCACAATGCCTAGAGGGCAAATGTAGCGTTGTCAGGAGGTAGGCAGCAGGTAGGCAGGTAGGCAGATCCTAACAGTAAGTAGCACCACCCAGTGGATGTTTACCATTACTTCATGAATTTCTGAATGCATGTCACCTCATGTGTCACCCCTAAAGTTGGAACTTCCATTACTTCATGAATTTGTGAATGCATGTCACCCCATGTGTCACCGCATATGGTCACACCACACAACACACGTTGATGGTGTTACTGCCCAAGAGAGGTTAGATGAGATGACACTTTAATATCCTAAGGGAAATTTTAACAATATAAAGAATGAAGGTATCATAAGGATCTAGAAACAATTACAATCTAAAAACAAGTAAAGGGGATGGAACTGACTGACAAAATAGGCATATTTGATAGAATTATGGTTTTAGGGTAGAATTATGGCTGTAGGGTAGAATTTTGGAGAGGAAGGGGTTTATATTTGTGCAAAGGCTAGTCATACTGCTGCAGTAGCATTTGTGCACTTATTTAGTGTAATTTAGGGTTGTAGTATGTAGGCCTATGGATCTGTCTGGAATTGACTTAAAATGAGTCCCAATAGTCCCAATTTCCATTCCTAATTTCCTAGTATGGGGAAGCAAATTCATATAAAGAAAGTCGTAAACATGCCTGTGTTGTGTTTAAGGAAAGCACACAAGGAAACAATAAGGAAATAACATAAATTCAGAACATTGGCAGTTGCACGTTGCCAATAAATGTTGTCGCTGGCTTTCTGAACTGACAGCACCGCTGGGGCAACGTGATTGAGAAACATAGAATAGCCCCGTGCAGTCAGGACACAGCCCTACTCAACCAATGAATGCATTCGCTGGGCGTGGTACATTGTGCTAGGGCAGAGTCGGAGTCAGCTGAGGACCAATCATTGCAACACATGCGAGCAGACAAGGGGCGTAAGCACGTGTGCTTTTGCGTGTTCCCTCCCAGTCCTCCAAAGACAATGTGCGGTTCTGTTCAGTGTGTGTACTACTTGTCTTGCAGGCGATCAACATTGGACCAGGTCGCTAAAGATGTAATTTCAGGTTTCTGCTATTTTTTATAATTTTAAACCTACTGAAGACATCGTGGAAGACGTTTGAATATTGTTTACCTCGGAACGTATTTTATCTTCATGTAATAAGGTGAGAATGTCAACTCTGATCAAGACCTAACTATGGTTTCGCTAACGTTAGATAACTTAGCTAGCTATTTTGATTGTAGTAGCTAACAGTTAACGTTAGATAGCTAACGGTACATGTTTATGTTTTTTAATTATCAAGTTATCAGCATTGACATTGGCAAGTGAAGCATTGTTGTTGCATGGCAAGAGTGTAAAGCCAGGGATTTATGTTTTTTTGTGTGAATCTAGCTAGCTAGCGAGATACAGTGTAATATTAATTGGTCAGTTCGTGTTTCGTACATGTGAGACCCATCTTTTGCCAGGCTTGTGTCAGGCAGAATAAATCCATGAGCGCATTCGGAACCTAGTGCCCTAGTCTAGTGGAGGCACGTTGCCTTCACTGTCGTCAACAATAATATCCCACACCGGTGTCATCCTGTTACTTACAGTAAACCCTCAAGACATGCCAGATAGGGAAATGGACTACAAAGTCAGTTTCTCTAGCATTTGTCACCTGTTATTGTCAGTTAACTGTTCTTGACAGTGATTTTATTTTTATGGTCGATTTCTTATATATGGAGATCAAGTTCTTTGAGCCTGTCCATACTTGGATACACATGACTTTAAGCGACTTGAAATCAATCCATTTAGTTGTGTACATATGCAATTTGAGTGAACTATAGCATCTACAGTGGTGTGGTTTTTATTGATGTTTTAGTGAAGTTAGATGTACTACTCAGTGTTTACACAGATGTATGACTCATGATCTCATTTGACTCACCACTCATGATTGTGAATTATTTCTTCTAGCAGGTATTCTGCCAAACCATCTAGTGCACTGAGTGTGGACGCACGAGGAAGAGCAAACTGACAAAGAAAGGCTCACCCCTCTTCTCTTCAATTGGCCTGTCAGGTTCATAAGCTTTGGATTGACAAAAAAACTCAAGATCAATGAGATACTGTCCAAACTTTGTCCATATCTTCTCTCTCATTTTTGCTTTTCTAAGCCATGACTCAATCTAAGTTTAGTAGCCCCGCCTAGTGGCAGGGTATCACAGCTCTTTGTTTTGACAGATACTTTTTGTCAAACAGCAATAGTCAATCACTCATACTGCTTATTATGAGTGATGAGAATGCATACACCACTTCTGGAAAGGACACTAGTGGAGTAAGTTTAGCAGAAGATGCGGTGGCGGGACAAGAGGCGGGCTCCCAGTCCCCTGAGTCTGGACTGAGTCAAACTGGCAGCTCCAATGGAAATGGAAAGAGAACTCGGTCTGGGGGCAAGTCCTCAAACTCTGATGACACTGATGCCCACTCGAGCGGGAACGACTCAGCCGAGAGAGAAGTGGAAGGACACATGGGGCACGAGGCATCAACCTGCAGCAGCTCCCATAATGGGAAGGACTCTGCCATGGAGACAACAGAGAGCAAAAGGTAACACGTTTAACAGAATACATACTCCAAACACCACAACCATTTTCAGATGGTTGCCAGTAGACACAGATTATAATATGAAAGTATCTGCTCAGCAGTGATAATAACATCATGTTATTTTGCCCAGCTCCAACTCCCACAGCCCTTCCCCTCCCAACAGCTCGATGGTCTATAGCCTGCTGAGTGGCAGCTCGGAGCAGGACCACCCGTCCACCAGCGGCTGCAGCAGTGACCAGCCGTCCCGGCTGCAGACCCAGAGAGAGCTGCTCAAGGCCCTGAAGGAGCTGAAGATCCGCATGCCTGCAGACCACCGGACGAAAGGCCGCTCCAGCACTCTGGCCTCCCTGCAGTACGCGCTCAACTGTGTCAAACAAGTCAGAGGTAAAATACAGCCTTTTGAGCATGCCTTTTGCTACATGTATACTGTGAGGCTTTAGCATGAAATAGCAAGACTACTATCTATCTATACTAGCTATTTATACTAATGTGTGTGTGTGTGTTTTTAGCGAATCAGGAGTATTACCACCAGTGGAGTGTGGAGGAGAGCCACGGTTGCAGTCTAGACCTCTCAGCCTTCACTACAGAGGAACTGGACAACATCACTTCTGAATACACACTCCAAAACACGGTAGGAACTAGAGAACAATCTTAATCTACTAGAACCAGACCAACGGCTCTTAATCCCAACTGAACATTGTTCTGACCTCCCTTGTTTCTTCTCTCCTGTACAGGACACATTCTCTGTGGGAGTGTCGTTCCTCTCTGGGAAGGTGGTGTACATCTCCCCCCAGGCCTCTCCCATGCTGCGCACTAAGCCTGAGCGACTACAGGGGGCGCTCTTCTCTGAGCTGCTGGCCCCACAGGACGTCAGCACTTTCTACAGCAGCACGGCTCCATGCCGCCTGCCCCCCTGGGCCTCCTGTACTGGCTCCAGTAAGTTTCCACACCTCTAATTTAGCTCTGAATTCACATGGAATGGATGATCACATTTGTGTATGTGATATAAATATTGCTGTGGTGCTAATGCCTCCCCTCTCTCTATCTCCCTCAGTGACCTCCCCTGTGGACTGCACCCAGGAGAAATCCATGTTCTGCCGTATCAGTGGTGGGAGGGACAGCAAGGGGGAGGTGCGGTACTACCCCTTCCGAATGACCCCCTACCAGCTAACTCTGCGGGACTCTGATATGCCACAGCCCTGCTGCCTGCTCATCGCTGAGAAGGTGCACTCAGGATACGAAGCTCCCCGTATCCCAGCTGACAAGAGGATTTTCACCACTAGCCACACCCCTAGCTGTCTCTTTCAGGAAGTCGATGAAAGGGCTGTGCCGTTGCTAGGCTACCTGCCCCAGGACCTGGTTGGGACCCCTGTCCTCATGTACCTCCACCCTGATGACCGGCCTGTCATGGTGGCCATCCACAAGAAGAGTGAGTACTCTTGTCCAACAGTCATGCCTTATACATTCTGTAAATATTTATTAACCGGCAAATGGATGAATGATTATGCGCTTATACTCCATCAAAGTTTTAACATATTTGGTTCTCCCCTTAGTTCTCCAGTCAGCGGGGAAGCCCTTTGAACACTCGCCCCTTCGGATGTGTGCCAGGAACGGGGAGTATCTCACCATAGATACCAGCTGGTCCTCTTTCGTTAACCCCTGGAGCCGCAAAGTGGCCTTCATCGTTGGTCGACACAAAGTCAGAACGTGAGTAGTTAACCTCTCTGCTACATCAATGACCTTCACAACCTTGCAATAGCACATTTGAACTGCTCTGTAACCTATTTGTGTAGCTATCAAGCAATACAATTGTCTTGGTCTAAACCCTATTCCCCTGTCCTTCTCCCTTCATCTACAGGAGTCCCCTGAACGAGGATGTGTTCACGCCTACTATGGAGGTGGAGGCGCGGCCCATGTCACCAGAGATCCCCAGGCTCAGTGAGCAGATCCACCGTGTGCTGGTGCAGCCCGTCCACAGTGGTGGCTCCCAGGGCTACTGCAGCTCCCACGGATCCCAGCCACAGAGGCCCAGCCCGGGCTCCTCGTCAGGCAGCAACAGCCCCTCCACCAAGGAGCTCATCCTGAAGACCATCCAGAGACCAGTGAGTACTAAAACAATCATAATTTCACGCATGTTTTAATTGTCTGTTTTATCAGGTAACAAGATTTGAACAGGGTCATTTTAGTTTGTAACTAGTAGTTTGTGACTAGTTTGTAACTCCAGGCCTAATTCTCTCCTATCTCTGTTCCACAGCAGCAGATGACATTCCAGCAGATCTGTAAGGACGTCCACATGGTGAAGACCAATGGTCAGCAGGTCTTCACCAAGTCCCGCAACCGCCCAGCACTCCGCAAACATGCCAGCACTGGTAAACACTTGGAATTATTAAAAAAAATATGAGAGTTTAAGAGTTTCATTATTTTGTTCTATAAAATATCTGAAATGTCACAATTAGAAATGTAAAACCGAGATATGTATAACCGGTGATTCTAACAGTACTTTATTTTATTATTCTCAGGAGCCCTGGTGGTGCCAGAGAATTTGAACAAGGACTTGGGACCTATTGGAGCTCTGGGGCCAATTAAAACCCTGGCCTCAGTGCAGCCAAGGAAAGACCCATCAGCCGACTATTCCTACCAGCAGATCAACTGTCTGGACAGCATCGCACGCTACCTGGAGAGCTGCAACGTCCCCAACACAGTGAAGAGGAAATGTGGCTCCTCCTCCTGCACCACATCATCAACGTCAGATGATGACAAGCAGAGGGAGTTGCCTGGAACTGCTAAAGGTACACAATACAGATCATATTGAAACACATCAAATAATGTTTTTTTCCCTATGCCTTTTTTTATGCTCTCCATGTATTTTTGGTGTCTTAACTGTGTGTTTCCCTACAGATCTCGAAGGGCCCCAGGGTAATGAAGGGTCTAAAAGGGGGCCACATATGAGTCCTCTGGCGCTGCACTGCAAGGCTGAGAGTGTGGTCTCTGTCACGTCCCAATGCAGCTTCAGCAGCACTATTGTCCACGTAGGGGACAAGAAGCCCCCAGAGTCAGGTAGGATACATCCTGACTGTTTGTTTGTTTACCTCTGTCTTCTTTACCTCCGTCTCTATCTTCTTTACCTCTGTCTCTGTCATCTTTACCTCTGTCTCTGTTTTCTATACCTCTGTCTTCTTTACCTCCGTCTCTGTCTTCTTTACCTCTGTCTCTGTCTTCTTTACCTCTGTCTCTGTCATCTTTACCTCTGTCTCTGTTTTCTATACCTCTGTCTTCTTTACCTCCGTCTCTATCTTCTTTACCTCTGTCTGTCTTCTTTACCTCTGTCTTCTTTACCTCTGTCTTCTTTATCTCTGTCTTCTTTACCTCCGTCTCTTCTCTCTCCTCTGATATATTGTCAACCTTATTCCCTGCAGATATTGTAATGATGGAGGAGACACCAGCCACCCCCACTCTCACCGTCACCTCTCCAGCCCCAGCCACTAACAACACCATCACGACGGCAGTGACCCCCCGACCATCGGCCCTGCCCAGCCCGGCACCATCCAGCCCTGCCCAGCCCGAGAGGGACGGTCGCAGGTCAGCTGGATGCTCAGGCCGCCTAGGTCTGACCAAGGAGGTGCTGTCTGCCCACACCCAGCAGGAGGAACAGGCGTTCCTGAGCCGCTTCAGAGACCTGGGACAGCTACGTGTGCTGGATCCCGGCCCTCCTTCTCTGAGAGGACACACCACCACACCCAAAGGTAAGACGGACACTTCAAGTGGAGATGTTGTTTCTATTATGACTGTGAAATATTATGAATGAGAGTCCATAGTTTCCCCGTGCAGCTCACCCCTGTGTTCTCGCTCTTTCTCTGTGTCTGTCCGTCTCTGTGTCTCTCCCTCTCTATGTGTCTCTGTCTCAGGAGTGCGCAGTTCGCAGGACTACCCAGCAGGCGGTAATGGACGGAGGAGGGGCCGCGGGGGCAAGAGGCTGAAGCACCAGCAGGAGGGTTCCCAGCATGGGGGCCGCCCCCAGTCTGGCTCAGGGATGAACGGTAGTTCCAGAAGGGAAGGGCAGGGGCGTCAAGGCCTCATGTTCCCCATGGGTCAACCCCTGATGATGCAGGGACCCCTGACCTCATCCTCCTCCTGGCCCACCTCTGTGGCCTCTCAGGCCAGCCTCCCTCCTGCCGTGGCCCAGTACCCTCCAGGAGTCCTGCCCTTTTTCCCCCTCTACCCCAACGTGCAACAACCACTCCTGGCCCACACCGGAGTGAACCCCAATGCCATGCAGATGGGCTACCCCAGCCCCCAGCCAGGCTTACAGTACCCCCTGCATGCCAACCAGATGCCCATGACGATGCCTCCCCCAATGATGGTTGTTCTGCCCAACTACATAATCCCTCACCTCAACGGAGGTGTAACACAGCTCAATACAGCCATACCGCACCTTAGCCCCGGTATCCATGGTATGGCACAACTTAACCAGGCACTACCGCAGTTCAACCAGGCTATCCCACTACCACAACTCAATCCTGGATTGGCTCAGTTCAACCCCGCTATGACACAGATGAATGGCATGCCTCATGTGAGTCCCACCCTAGCTCAACTCAACCTGTCACAGGTCAATCCTTTGTCGATGATCCCCCAACACTTTTACAATCCCAACCCAACATTACCTTTCCCAAATCCCATTCCGATTTCCGGGCTTCCTGGCTTTGCCTTACCCGAGATGGATCCCACCTTCGTCCATCGCGGCAACTCCCGCTCCTGCACCCCTCAGTCCACGTGCCAAGTGCCCCTGGAGGGGACTGACTCGCCCCTCTTCCAGTCCCGATGCTCCTCCCCCCTCAACCTACTGCAACTGGAGGAGTTGCCAGGCAACCGTCAGGAGGGCATGTCGACAGGGGCGCAGCAGACCCTGCCCCCACCTGGCTCGGTGTCTCAGGTCGGAGGTCAAGGCTCTGTTAACCGCAGCAGCATGAAGGGTGACGCCAAAGAGGACGATAACGTGAGTTTTAAACTGCAATCCATTTAGAAAATATAATTACGAAAATGTTCATTTGAGTCTATGGAGTTCTTGTCATTAACCTCTGTCTCTCCTGTGTTGTTCCCTTCCTTCAGGCTGATGCTGATGACCAGGATGCAATGTCCACCTCCAGTGACCTGCTGGACCTGCTGCTGCAGGAGGACGCCTGCTCAGGCAACGGCTCGGCCGCCTCTGGCTCCGGGTCCTCAGGCTCTGGCTCCGGGTCCTCAGGCTCTGGCTCTAATGGATGCAGCACCTCAGGGAGTGGCACAAGTGAGTTTAACACCGCCCAGATTCTTCTTCTTAGCGCTGTGATGGTAAAGGATGTTTGTATATAGTGACTGATATGTTATGATACTAACTGAACATGTTCCTTTTTCAACCACAGGAAGCAGCAACACCAGCAAATACTTTGGCAGCATTGACTCGTCAGAGAACGACCATTCCCATAAGCAGGCACCAGGGGGGGCCAAAGAGGCCCAGCTCATGAAATATGTCCTTCAGGACCCTATCTGGCTCCTTATGGCGAACACAGATGACAAGGTTATGATGACGTACCAAATGCCCACCAGGTAAGAAATCGCCATGGTCACTGCACTACACTGTTGTCATGGCAATTGTAGTCATAGTTACATTTACCAGTCATGATTAAATTTAAATGCTATAGCTATTTATTGTAATTGTATTTATGATTGATGATGTGCATGGAATGCAAGTAGTATATTATTTATTAATACAGACTATGAAAAAGAAAATAAAGGCCTGCACACCATTCTGCTCCTAATACCACCTTTTACAGACTATGGCATATCTATGGACATGTGAAAGAGTATTGGTCTGTGTGATTTTAAAGGGACAGGGAGACTGTTCTAAGGGAGGATCGTATGATACTGAGGGCGGTGCAGAAACAGCAGCCGTGCTTCACTGAGGAGCAGAAGAGAGAGCTGATCCAGGTCCAGCCCTGGATGGGCACCGGACGCCTGCCACAGGCCATCAACACCCCTGTAAGTCAGCACACAGACACATACTGGAGATAGTAGCTACACCCTGCCTCTCTCAGACCGGAAAGATTCACAGGAATCAGTATAGATGACAGTGGAGATTTATAAAAACAATGTACTTGTGAAGGACGTGTTTATTCAACTCTTGTCCCCCTCTTGTCCCTCTGCTTGTGTTTAGACTTGTACCGGGTGTGGTTCTCCTCCCGCTACCTCCGTCCCTAGGCCTTTTGATGTGGAGCTGCAGGACATGGATTTGACAGGGGACCTCCAGCTACAGGAAGAGGCCACTGCACACACAGAGACACCGGTTACCATGGCAACAGACACACATGACACCTCCATCCCACCACCACAAGCCCCCCAGACAGAGACTAAGGGGGGCGAGGGTGAGAGGCGAGTGGAGCAGGAAGGAGAAAGTAAGGACACCAGAGTGAAAGAGTTGGAGGTGACGTCATCATCCGGAACAGAGAAAGGGGACTCTGGCTGTAAACGGCAACCGAGGACTTCTATATGGCCAATGACTCTAAAACACAATGCATTGGGACAAACGGGGGCCAAGCTCACTGTTAATGTGTTGTGTTTGAACAAATAAGTGAACATGGATAAGGAGTCAAAGAATACCTGATCCTGTTTAAATACATAGAGAATGTAGCTCAATGTATATGGAATCTAAGAAGGTATAAATATTCAATGTATTTAAATGGAAAGAGAAGCCCTTAGTAAATATTTTATTGGCATGTTTGGTGCCTGGTCCCCTGTCTAAGGAGGCTTGAAGACATGTTCCATTTGTAATTCACTGCTTTGGGATTTTTCTCCCCTATAGTGACACATTGATAGTTTACAAGTTATTGTGTGTATCAACGCAATATAATTTATTCGTCCAAAGTCCATATTGGAAAATGATGTCAAATCTATCGTGAAAACCATTAAATTGCAAATTCATTTTGAAAAATATGTTTGGTAGAATACGTATTACAAATATTTTCTAAGTCATTTCTGATATTGTACAATGTGTATATTACAGTATACCTCCAACCAAGAGCTGGCATACTACAGTTTTCTGTGGGCTGTTTTGTCATGTAATGTTCTGAATGGTTCATTTCTTTTATAATGCACACCGCAATCCTTGTAAAAAGATGTAAAGTTGTAGCCATTATTGGGAAAACATCCTGACAATTTTATCTCCTCCAGAGAAGTACACAAAATACATCAAGACCATGTTAAAAGAAATACCCTGTTGTTTGTTTGCGTCGTTATGGGTATTTCTGTACAAATAGTATCTCAGATTTGTCAGGCGCAGAGATGGGTGTTCCCATGGTAACAGAACAGCTGGAGCCAGTCTTGTTGACGAGGGAGAGAGGAGCAGGCCTTGATCATGCAGTTGGTCAAGGCCAATATGTTCTATCAATAGTTAAGTCAGCCCCTTATTCATTACTGTAAATAAAATGATTAGTCACTTATTACAACTCTTTGGGGGGATTTTGGTATGTTATTAATATTAAAAAGAAATATAATTTGGTTCTGGTTTCTTTTGTTTCTCTTCAAGAATTTGTGGTGTGTAGTTTGTGTTCTTTCAGGTATGCAAAGGTCATCACCGTAGCTAAAATCATCAGTCATGCATTCTTCCTTTACCTTCTCTGCTACTAGAGGGTGTGGCGACAGTTTGTTGAAGGATATGTTCCGCCTATCGGCAGATTGACGAGGGCGGCATTTTCTGAGCTAAACTGGCCAAGACGCACCTCCAACAACACATAATTCTGCACAAAAACAATGACAATTTCTCTCAACCAGTGGCATATAGGCTTTTTAAGTGAACGCTGATGCCGCCCTGTGAAATGCAGTGCCCACTTTGTCAAAGGCAGGGGCGCTAAATATTTTGCTTGTCCATTCCCAGCACGCCTCTTCAGGGTGCTGTTGATACAGGATATGGTAGAAAGAGTATGTGGCCTTTTCTGTAGCCTACAGGCTGGAGATCAGATGTATGACAATGTATTGAGACGGGCACTTTTTACATCATGCAGGTTTCTCCAATCAAATAGCCTAACCTAAATGGCGCCCAATCAAAAAAGAAAATGCGCTGTCATGTAAACAAACAACATATCCTAAAAACAGGACAGGTCAAAGTAAAATGGGCAATATGGTATGGACAATCACAACTGTTGTCCAGGATTTTTTCAAGTTTGTATCCCTAACATTTTTGACAAGCCAATCATAGCGAAAAAGAAAATACTTATTCATTTCAAGCTGTGGAAACACATTGCAAATAGGCACAGGATAACTCCTAAAAAGTTGAGTTGCTGATATTCAGAGTTTAAATAGCCAAATTGATTAGTCACAGGAATCAGGACGAGTAAAGCCAATGCAATGGCCTGTTTTACAAATGGTGGGCCTACCACATGGACTGCAGTCAGAGTGCAGTATAACTGCAGTATGCTGCAAATACTGCATACAAAATACCACAGTCGACTTCAGTTACTGCACTTTTACTGCAGCTTCAAAACTGCAATCTTTTTTTGTAAGGGAAAATTCCATTGCTGGCTGACATAAGCTACACCCCAGTAAGCACGATCCGACGTCTTTTGGATATATTTTTTTGGTCCTGTCCAGATGTCTTCTTTTGGTGTTTTACAAACAGTAGACTTCCCACATAGATGGGCATTCATAAAATTCAATTTTAGGCAACACTGTAGGCTACACCTCAGTAAGCGCGGACTGACGCCGACGCCTTTTGGATGTCATTTTTTGGTCTGGACCGGCCTTGATTTCCACACCCACGGACATTGGTATTTGGTCTGATCCAGACCATTCATTTTTTAATTTTTTAATTTGTTTTATTTCACTTTATTTAACCAGGTAAGCCAGTTGAGAACAAGTTCTCATTTACAACTGCGATCTGGCCAAGATAAAGCAAAGCAGTGCGATAAAAACAACAACACAGAGTTACATATGGGGTAAAACAAAACATAAAGTCAAAAATACAACAGAAAATATATATACAGTGTGTGCAAATGTAGCAAGTTATGGAGGTAAGGCAATAAATAGGCCATAGTGCAAAATAATTACAATTAGTTTTAACACTGGAATGATAGATGTGCAAGAGCTGATGTGCAAATAGAGATACTGGGGTGCAAATGAGCAAAATAAATAACAATATGGGGATGAGGTAGTTGAGTGGGCTAATTTCAGAAGGGCTGTGTACAGGTGCAGTGATCGGTAAGGTGCTCTGACAACTAATGCTTAAAGTTAGTGAGGGAGATAAGAGTCTCCAGCTTCAGAGATTTTTGCAGTTCGTTCCAGTCATTGGCAGCAGAGAACTGTAAGGAATGGCAGCCAAAGGAGGTGTTGGCTTTGGGGATGACCAGTGAGATATACCTGCTGGAGCGCATTCTACGGGTGGGTGTTGCTATGGTGACCAATGAGCTAAGATAAGGCGAAGATTTGCCTAGCAGTGATTTATAGTTGGCCTGGAGCCAGTGGGTTTGGCGACGAATATGTAGTGAGGACCAGCCAACAAGAGTGTACAGGTCACAGTGGTGGGTAGTATATGGGGCTTTGGTGACAAAACGGATGGCACTGTGATAGTGTCACGATCGTCGGGAACAGAGGACCAAGGCGCAGCGTGAAAGGTGAACATATTTATTAAATAATGAAAACACGAACAAAAACAACAAACGATAACGTGACATCCTCGGTCAAACACAAACCACACTGGAACAAGATCCCACAACCACTGTGGGAAAACAGGCTGTCTAAATATGGTTCCCAATCAGAGACAACCAGCCACAGCTGACACCCGTTGCCTCTGATTGAGAACCATTCTGGCCAACATAGAAATACAACAACTAGACACGAAAAACAAATGAAAACTCACACCCTGGCTCAACATACTAGAGTCCCCAGAGCCAGGGCGTGACAGATAGACTACATCCAATTTGCTGAGTAGAGTGTTGGAGGCTATTTTGTAAATGACATCGCCGAAGTCAAGGATCGGTAGGATAGTCAGTTTTACGAGGGCATGTTTGGCAGCATTAGTGAAGGAAGCTTTGTTGCGAAATAGGAAGCCGATTCTAGATTTAACTTTGGATTGGAGATGCTTAATGTGAGTCTGGAAGGAGAGTTTACAGTCTAACCAGACACCTAGGTATTTGTAGTTGTCCACATACTCTACACAGACCCGTTGAGAGTAGTGATTCTAGTCGGGTGGGCGGGTGCCAGCAGCGTTCGATTGAAGAGCATGCATTTCGTTTTACTAGTGTTTAAGAGCAGTTGGAGAAGGAGTGTTGTATGGCATTGAAGCTCGTTTGGAGGTTTGTTAACACAGTTTCCAATGAAGGGCCAGATGTATACAAAATGGTGTCATCTGCGTAGAGGTGGATCTGAGAGTCACCAGCAGCAAGAGCGACATCATTGATATACACAGAGAAAAGAGTCGGCCCAAGAATTGAACCCTGTGGCACCCCCATAGAGACTGCCATAGGTCCAGACAACAGGCCCTCCGATTTTACACATTGAACTCTATCTGAGAAGTAGTTGGTGAACCAGGCGAGGCAGTCATTTGAGAAACCAAGGCTATTTAGTCTGCCAATAAGAATGCGGTGGTTGACAGAGTCGAAAGCCTTGGCCAGGTCGATGAAGACGGCTGCACAGTACTGTCTATTATCGTAAACATAGACATCTATGTTTGCTTCAGATTTGGTGCGGTCCAGACCAGCCTTGATTTCAATGTCCACGGACATTGATTTTTGGTCCGGTCCAGACCAAATTATCATAGAGTACTATGTTTGGTTCAGATTTGGTCTGGACTGGAGCAGCCAAACATAGACGTCTATAAATGACGTCTTTGCAACTTTCATTCAGAACCAAAAGTAAACCTGATTTCAATGTCTGGAAAATACGTATTTTCAATGTCTGGAAAATACGTATTTTCAACGTCCGGAAAATAAGTATTTTCTACTTTCATTCAGAACCGAAAATGAATCTGATTTCAACGTCTGGAAAATACGTATTTTAAACGTTCGGAAAATAAGTATATTTCACCTTTCATTCAGAACCTAAACTGAACCTAACTTCAACATCTGGAAAATACGTATTTTTTGGTCTCGCCTAGGGCGGCAGAAAGACAAGGACCAGCCCTGGTTTCCAGAAATACACTACATAACCAAAAGTATGTGGACACCTGCTCGTCGAACAACTCATTCCAAAATCATGGGCATTAATATGGAGTTGGTCCCCCCCTTTACTGCTATAACAGCCCCCACTCTTCTGGGAAGGCTTTCCACTAGGTGTTGGAACATTGCTGCGGGGACTTGCTTCCATTCACACACAAGAGCATTACTGAGGTCAGGCACTGATGTTGGGTGACTAGGCCTGGTTCGCAGTTGGCGTTCCAATTCATCCCAAAGGTGTTCAATGGAGTTGAGGTCAGAGCTCTGTGCAGGCCAGCCAAGTTCTTCCACACCTATCTTGACAAACCATTTCTGTATGGACCTCACTTTATGCACGGGGGCATTGTCATACTGAAACAGGAAAGGGCCTTCCCCAAACTGTTGCCACAAAGTTGGAAGCACAGAATCGTCTAGAATGTCATTGTATGCTGTAACGTTACGATTTCCCTTCACTGGAACTAAGGGGCCTAGCCCAAACCATGAAAAACAACCCCAGACCATTATTCCTCCTCCACCAAACTTTACAGTTGGCACTATGCATTGGGGCAGGTAGCGTTCTCCTGGCATTCGCCAAACCCAGATTCGTTCGTCAGACTACCAGATGGTGATGCGTGATTCATCACTCCAGAGAACGCGTTTCCACTGCTCCAGAGTCCAATGGCGGCGAGCTTTACACCACTCCAGCCGACGCTTGGCATTGTGCATGGTGATCTTAGTCTTGTGTGTGGCTGCTCGTCCATGGAAACCCATTTCATGAAGCTCCCGACGAATAGTTATTGTGCTGACGTTGCTTCCAGAAGCTGTTTGGAACTCGGTAGTGAGTGTTGCAACCAAGGACAGACAATTTTTACGTGCTACGTGCTTCAGCACTCGGCATACCCGTTCTGTGAGCTTGTGTGGCCTACCACTCTGCCGTTGTTGCTCCCAGACGTTTCCACTTCTTAATAGCAGCACTTACAGTTGACCGGGGCAGCTCTTGCAGGGCAGAAATTTGCAGAACTGACTTGTTGGATAGGTGGCATCCTATGACGTTGCCACGTTGAAAGTCACTGAGCTCTTCAGTAAGGCCATTCTACTGCCAATGTTTGTCTATGGCGATTGCATGGCTGTGTGCTCAAATTTTATACACCTGTCAGCAACGGGTGTGACTGAAATAGCCCGAATCCACTAATTTGAAGGGGTGTCCACATACTTTTGTATATACAGTGTATATCTATATCCCTAAGTGCTCCAGTGTCCCCCACTCTATATCATATTCAAAGTAGGGAATTAGTTGACAATCTGACCTAATCTAACTTGTGATGAAGAATGTCTCAAAGCTGAACTATGGCCTTGAGAAATAACATTACATATCTTATTTATATTGCTTTTTGTCCACCTCCCTGGTCCTTTACATCAGGTAAGCGGGGGCATCCCTGACCCTCTCAGCAGACCACACTCTAAGTCCTCAGTAGTATTGGCATGGGTCAAAACAATTCCTGGAATCTTCCACTCTCCAAATCCACAGGTTAAATCCAACAGGAAGCGTGACTTAGAGCAGATTAAATAGCTGCTTGGGTCTTAGGTCAGATAAACCCAGTGTGGGGCTCAGCTGGTAGTAACAAACAGCCACAAGACCTCGGCTCTTAAATCTAATAGTCTGCATTCTCCCTTTCTGGAGTCGCAAACGCAGTTCAAAGTGTGTCTGAACATTCCACTGTCTTTTACATGTGCAGGAAGTGACTGAGCACTGCTGGACACCGACCATGTGAGATGGGAGAGGAGGCAGAGGGACTTTCACTGGCACTCTCACTTCCACCCACGGACAGAGTCATGGCCAAATGGTTAGGGCATTGCGCAAGTCAACTGTACTTTCAACAGATGCCAGACTGTTCACCAGTGGGCTACACAACAGAGACTCAAATTATGATTTTGTTGTTAGCCTGGGAGCAGAGTTCTCTTAGAAAACACTCCCTACATGCTAGAATGCACTCATGCTAACCTCTCTCTTTAAAACCACATTAAACCTTTTATTTTCATATTTGCTTGGTTTGCTATTATCTGATATAGAGTAAGGATTTCCCCATGAGACCTGAGTTGGATGGAAACAAAAGCAGGATATACTGTATTACATAACCATTTTGGGGGAAAAAACATACCTCCCTCATTGTTGCCAAGGTAGAAAAGCTATGATCCAAATCTAAACACAATTCTTCCCAAAAGACGTGTGGTGACCTGGCCTGTTGGCAGGTCACAGGGTTGACTGTTTATATTCATACTGTTCATCCTCAGTCTCATAGTGATGGTCACCACACTGTCTCTACTTCAGTGCCTCTTTACTGTTTCTCTGTGCCTTGGACATTTCTCTGAATAACCTGATTCACCCATTACTCAGTAGGCTTTGGATATATATATACTTTTTTTTTATGCGTTATGTCTTTATTGCAGGAGTACACATTTGCGAGGGAGTTTATATTCTGTCTGTGTGTGTGCATGTGGTGGACGCTGATCTTTTTTAAGCAGGAGCTAATCCTTTTGAGTGAAACCACAATGAGAGAGAAGAGATGGTTTATGATTCTTCTGGGAACAGCAGTTGCAGTTTGTCACCCTCCTCACGTACGTTCACACTATTCTTCATGGAAGGCTATTGTCACTCCATTTCACACCTCTCTCACTGTTGTTCGGCTTGAGACATCTCTTATTGAATACAATTTATTTTCCAATTAGTTACAGAGATGTTTTGCAACTCCAGACAGTGTGCATGCATGTATGTGAGTGTGCAGGGGGGATTTCTGTCTCAAGCAGGAAGATATAAATATGACTCAATCTCCTTCATAAATACTTGCACTGCTGAGTATCCTCGGTTTGCAGTGGCAGTTAAACTATCTCATTCTCCCATTTGCTCTATCGGCTTAGTTAATTTCTCCTGGAATCTTCCTTTCCAACCATCCCTCCCTCCCTCCCTCCCAAACCCCACCACAGACCCATACTAACCCTTTGCCTTACTGTCTCGCCTGCAGGAGGAATGTCTCGTGATGGACTGTTCTGGAGTCGTGGCAGAAGCAGAGGCCTACACCCCTTGGACTCCAGCCAGGTGTTACGGTCCCTCATACTCCCACACTCTAGCAGCAGCAGTCCTCACACACAGACGCCATCCGCCCCCCAGCAGACTCACTCTGCACGTCACCACATTCCTGCTCTCTCAGCCTCTCATCAGAGATGTAGCTTAACACACACACAGCAGTCAGCAGACACTGACTGGGGAGTTCAAGGCACGCTAATGAGCAGCCATGCTATAGCATTGTTGATAGGAGGGTATATCATAACATTATCATAACACAACCATAACAACATTTCAAGCAGTTCAAGCGGTCCCATAGGCTCTTGCTTATATAAATCAGTCAGTAATTCATGAATCCATGTTAAAGTAAGAGACCATCTGTAATTATGACTAAGAGATGTGAATGTATAAACATATATCGCCTCCTATGGGCTTTGGTCATGGTTCTACTGCTCTGTCCCCCTGAATGAGGCTGTTTTTATTGTATGAAACGGCACCCCCTCAAAAGGCCCCAGCCCAGAGATGCAGGCTAAAGGGTCGGCTTTACAGATCAACATCATGGAGAACACTCCCCCAGCCCTCTCTGGAGTGTTGTTCCCTATCTCGTTGCATTGTGGGGGCTGATAAAGCCCCTCTGACTGGGAGACTGTCTGTCTGTCTGTCTGTGGAGCTAAAGGAGCTCTAGGGGGCTGGGGGAATATGGTCAAAAGAAATACGGGGCTTCAGATACTGGGTGCCTTTATGTTCATCCAACTTTGGAAAGTTGCTTAGATAAAGCCGTTCTAATAGCCTATGATATTCATCAATATCAAAAGTGTCATGAATTTGATAAAGAACCATTGATCTAAATACATCAGTCAAGCTAGTGGTCAAAAGCCCACACTGGAATGTAAATAGAAGTGACCTTCTTTGTAAAGGTCCCGGCCCCCTTGTACCCCAGGCTCTACCTCCACCTGTGCAGCCCCCCTGGTACCCCAGGCTCTACCTCCACCTGTGCAGCCAGGAACCAGGCAGCAAAATGATCCAGCAGACTCTGTGATCTACTGAGACCGATGCCATAATTAACCTGGCAACAACCAAGATAAATGCTATAATTTTGCATGCTATGCTTTGTGTGCAACAGTAATAAGCTGTTTCAGTTATTTATGGCTTTGAATTAGTCTATTGCACAAACGTCTGTGCAGCCATTGTGGGAAGTTAGTCTCTTGCTCTCTTTTTGTTCTCTCTTTTCCTATGTGCACCCCTCTATTGTATGGAGGCCAATGTTAACATTGAGACAGCATCTGGTTCTAATTAAGCACTCCCCTCCTCCTCGCGACATCTCCCCAGTCATGACTCCTTCTGGCTCCTACCCTCTCAGCATCTCTCTCCTTCTCTCACTTTCTCACTCCCTCTTTACGCCTCTCCAGTGGCTCCCTCCCCCTGTCCTCCACCTCTCCCCCTCTTGCTCCCATCTCGCTCTTCTGGTTTACCCTCTAACTGTGTCTGCTCTCTGCATCATGAAGTGTGTATCTGGAGTCTGGGGTCTCTCCGTGCTCCTGGCTCTATGTTTAGGATGGGCACAGGGCCAGAGCCAGAGCCAACCTGAGACTAACTACACCAGGTAGGGAATAGGAGTGTATTGGGCTTGTTGGTGTGTGTGCAATGTATGTTTGCAAGAGGCTTTACAGTGTGGATGGCTCCATTTGGATAAATGCACAGTGTATTCATCTGTGGCAATATCCATTATTTATATGGTTCATAATATACCATAACCATATACAGAGCGTGTATGGTTTTGAGTGTGCCATGTTCAGATTTCAAGCAGTGTGCTCTGAACTCCCTATCTGAGCTTTCTGCATTTGTATATTAGCTTAGGGGTATGGCAGTGTTTTTGTTGGGGTTGTGAATGGTCCATGGTGTTGATGTGGTTGAGCTGCCCCAGATGTTAGTGCTTTGGGGTCTGTATGTCTGTCTGTATGTGTCTGTGTGGGGTTGGATCAGGACGGCTTGTCTCTGGCTGGACATCTTGGCTTTCATTAGCTTGCCTCTGTCTGCTGGAGTTCTGTAAGTCTGAGCTCCTATAATGTGACAGACTGGGAGCTTTCTCAATGTGTCTGAGTTCAAGATATAGCCTTGAGTGTTGGCTGGACTCCTGGAAAAGCTATTTTGTCCTCCGGTTGTGATAATGGTAACTGACTAAATTTGTGGGTTTTATTTGGTTTCTTCTTCAGTATGTCTCTACCTATTGAGCTGCTTTGATGCTCCATTACAGGGATTAGGTTTTTCTGCCTTAGTTTTTTTGTGCACCTCTGTCTCCTGTACAGACAGTCTCCAATGTGTCTGTCTGTCCCCATGACTGTCTGTGAGGCCACTGGCATACAATTATATATTTATCAATGAAAGTATTCTGGTATTAGTCTAGGTTTGGTATTTTCCAGTTGGAAAAGGAGTTTGAATTAATTATTTGAGCAGATGTGGACGTGCATGGGGTGATGGGGAAGACTGGGTGGTTGGGTTAGAAACTGGGACAAGCAGAGGGGAGAAATTTAAAAACATTTAGGGGGAGGTCTCCTTGAGGAAGCTCTAGTCAAGAAAACCATAACCTCCACTAACTTTGTCCAGTCTTCATCCTGTCTACACCCCCTCTTCCCATTCTCCTGAAACTGACACCAGTGTGCCAAGGGGAAGAATTATCATTGGGTGCCTGAGGGATTTAGAGATTATCTGTTGAGGAAGTGAGTCACAATACTTGGATGTCTGTGTGTGTGTGTGTGTGTGTGTGTGTGTGTGTGTGTGTGTGTGTGTGTGTGTGTGTGTGTGTGTGTGTGTGTGTGTGTGTGTGTGCATGCACATGTGCGAGTATCCCAAACTCAAAGTGATAGTGATGTGGTAAGCATTAGCCAGCATTTATCAAGTACAGTACATGATAATACATCACTGTGTTCCCACCCTGCTCTCTCTCAGGCCTGTGTTCCACTGTGGAGGAGAAATGGTTGCAGACTCAGGCTTTGTGGGCAGTGAAGGATTTCCAAGCTACTACAAACCCAACAGCAAATGTACCTGGCGCATTACAGTGAGTCACTGGCCCTGCACTACATATCACTTCTCCATTACTCTGTATTTAACCTACAGATTGACCTAAATGCCTGTTCTGCCCTCTCTCTAAACTTCAGGTCCCAGAGGGCAATGTGGTCATGCTCTCTTTCCGCATCTTCGACCTGGAGGCTGACCCCATGTGTCGCTATGATTACCTGGATGTGTATAATGGCCACTCCAACATGGTGCAAAAGCTGGGGAGGTTCTGTGGAACGTTCAGGCCTGGTACTCTCATCTCCACCACCAACAACATAATGCTGGAGATGGTGAGCGATTCTGAGACTGGAGGGAGGGGCTTCCTGGCTTATTTCAATGGAGGAAAACCACATGTGGATGGTGAGCTTTACAGTATAACTTGGTCTCTCACTCTCTGTCTTTTCGAAGGAACAACATCTTTCTGATTTCCTATGTCCATTAGCTCACATACTGTAACGTAGGCTTATACCACTGTCAAATCTTTTAGTCACTTTATTATTTATTGATCTGTATATGAATAATTATTTCAGAGCACCAATTCTGTGGAGGCAAGATGACAAAAGCCCAGGGTGAAGTTAAAACACCTAACTGGCCTGAGAAGAATTACCCAGCAGGCATCAGTTGCTCCTGGCTCATCACAGTAGAGCCAGACCAGGTTATTACTCATCATGTTCAGCTTTCCATGCTCTTTATTCTACATGGAGTTCTGCAAATGATGCACAAACCACAGAACTGAATGTGCACCTATATGCATAAATATATTTGAGTTTCAAGTGACATTCATAGTGAGTAATGTTGCTGTATTTGTATAATCTGTTTATTTCTGTATGTGGGCTAGGTGATTGAGGTGAAGTTTGATAAGTTTGATATGGAGTCAGACAGTTACTGCCGCTTTGATTATGTGGCCTTCTTCAACGGTGGAGAAAAAGATGACTCTCGACGCATTGGAAAATACTGTGGAGACGTCAGCCCCCAGTGAGTGGTACACGACTGTATGTGTGTTTGCCTGACTTCCTGTGTTTATGATTATGCTTGTCTGTGGTCTAAGTCTATGATGATATATTGTATATCTGTTTGTTTTTGTTACTCTACTCCTCTACTCTCTTCCAATCCTCCCTCTGCATCACTCTCTGCCCACAGAACCATTGTGACCAATGGGAACGTGCTCCTAGTGCAGTTTGTGTCTGACCTCAGCGTGACCTCTGATGGCTTCATGGCCAGTTACACCAGCGTCCCCCGCGGATCCAGAACCCCCACAGTAGACAACACAGGATCAGGACCCCGTACAGAGTCAGTCCCCAGGAAATCTGCTGTCAAACCCATCCTGCCTGAGAGAACAGTCATCACCACCACTACCACCCAACCACCCACTACAGCCAGACACCAGGCCCCCCCAACCCCACAGCCCCAGGAGCCCACTGCCAAGCCCAAACCAGTCAAACCAGTCAGGACTCGCCTACCAAACAAGCCAGGCCCAGACAGGACCAGAGTTACTAGACCAGACAGCAAGAGGCCAGGTAAGAGAAGCTGAAGCACTGGTGTAGCGAGAGCTGAGTTTATGCATACACATGTCTGTGTGTTTGTGTGACTGTGTGTGTAAGCAATGTTTGTATTTTCTAGTTCCCTTGAACCCACTGTGTGCAAAGGCATGTAAGAGGGATGGAAATATCAAGAGCAGTTTCTGCACCAGTGAATTTGGTGAGTTCCATTAGACAGCTAGCATCATTGGATAGCCAAATTATTCAAGCTTAACATCTGTACTATCATTACACAGCAATTTTAAGTTCACAGCATTGCTCAGGCAATTAAACTATATCTCTCTCTCTCAGTGATCACGGGAAAGGTGACAGAGCTGACCCCTGGTCCTCAGGGCAGTATCCATATTAGTGTGTCTCTCATCAAGGCCTACAAGGCTGGCCGGCTGACCATCACCCAGGCTGGAGAGAACATGTCTGTCAAACTGGTGTCAGCCTGCAAGAAGTGCCCTGTCATCCGCAGAGGTAACCAATTATTATTATTATTATTATTTTTGTCATTTAGCAGACGCTCTTATCCAGACCGACTTACAATTAGTGAGTGCATACATGTTGTTGTTGTTTTTTCATACTGGCCCCCCGTGGGAAACAAACCCACAACCCTGGCGTTGCAAACGCCATGCTCTACCAACTGAGCTACACAGGATTTTTCTTCCCAGACAATCTGACTGGCATATACAACATTATGCAAACACATACATGTACACACACATGCATGCACAGATGCACACACACTGCTGACTTATCAGCATAGACTGTTGTGTCATCATAGACGGTATTGCTGGATTGCCTAATAAATGCATTTTTGATCAATCTCTTTCTCAGGAATGCCTTACATCTTGATGGGCCAGGTTGATGAGGATGGGAGTGGAACAATGGCTCCTGGGGCTTTCACTGCCCCATATAAGGCCCCGCATCACAAACTGCTGACCAATATCAACAACCAACCATGCTAACCTCACACCCCAGTCCACCAATCAGGGAAATCCAGCCTAGTGCAATGACAACAAAGGTTACGGTGCCAAAAAAATTATGTTTATTCTTGAGGAGTCCTTAATGAAGTGAATTATCTTGTTTTTTCACTTAATGTTTGATGACACTAACTTAATTGCTGAAATATCCTTTCATGGGTCTCTCACAGGTTCAGATTAAATGACAAGCATCACATAGCAACAGTTTGACCCACCTCATAATAGGGCTATATATTATATTATTTTTGTAATTTATGTCTCTTAATAAAGGATTTATAACACATGGTGTTGGTTTGATATGTTTATTACATTAACTTCATGTCCCATTCAGTATAGCTTTACTGCAACACAATGATGGTATGCCACCTAGTGGACAGATTTACAAAATACCCTCATGACACACGAAACAGGTGCCACTACACTCTCAAAGAATTAGTGGCCTACTTGGTGTGCGAACTGCTGACTGCTCATAATTTGCTCATAATTTGCATATAGTTGTTGACACATCAACCAGGATTAAGGGGCAGGGCAATTTGTTACTTGTTTTTGGCAGTCAGTGGCTGTATTGGAGGGGGAGTGATTTCACCTCTCCTAGACAATCAGCAATTAGTGTTAGTACTTCAGTCTCCCCTGGTTTCTCAGCAGTAGCCGTGTAAGCGGTGGTCGTGTCAGTGGCAGTTTTATCGCAAAACTAAGACAGTTCTGCCGAGTTGTTCAAGGAAGGAAATAGAGGAAGGCTCCACACCACTCTCTTACTTGAGTATCTTACCTAGTTATTTTCAGATTATCTAATTTTTGCTATTTTTGTAGCTATGGCAACTATGTGTGTGTTTTCTATACCTGTTCACTCCTCTCACTGTAGGCTTTACAGATGCTTCCCACCCCTTGGCTGCAATCCTTTTAATTTAGTGTTCCCTGCGCACACCACCCATGAGGAATTCCGGGTCTCTGGCAGCGTTTGGAACTGCCGATCCGCGGTCAAGAACGTCGAGTTCATCTCAGCCTATGCTGTTCTTCAGTCCCTTTACTTCTTGGCCCTGACAGAGAGATGGATCACCCCAGAGAACACTGCTACTCCAGCTGCTCTTTCTTCATCTGACAAAGTTTTCTCTCATAGTCCAAGAGCATCTGATCGTCGCAGTGGTGGCACAGGGCTACTCAAGTGGAGATTTTCTCTTTTCTCCCTCTCTCACCTGTCCATCTGCTTATTTGAGTTCCATACTGTCACTTGTCCACTCAAGCATAACATTATTGTCATCTATCGCCCACCAGTTGCCCTTGGAGAGTTCCTCAATGAGCTTGACACCTTGAATAACTAATTTTCTGACGATGGCTCACCGCTTTTCGTACTTGGTGACTTCAACCTCCTGACATCTGCCTTCGATTCATTTCTTTCCAACTCTCTCTTTCCCCTCCTTGCCTCTTTTGATCTCACCCTTTCCCAATCCCCTCCAACTCACAAGGCAGGCAATATGCTTGACCTTATCTTTACTAGAGGCTGCTCGCCTACTAATCTCACTGCAACCCCCCTCCAGGTCTGTCTCCCTTTCCTCCAGCCCTAACCACTCAGCCCCTACCCAGATGGTCATGCGCAGTTGCAATCTTCGCTCTCTCTCTCCCACTACTCTCTCCTCTTCTATCCTATCTCTCCCTTCTGCTAAATCCTTCTCCCTCCTGTCTCCTGATTCTGCCTCTCCGACCCTACTCTTCTCCCTTTCTGCATCCTATTACTCGTACTGTCCCCTTTCCTCCCGGCCGGCTTGGCGCTCACCTCCTGCTCCGTGGCTGAGTTACTCATTGCAAGCTTACAGAACAGCGCTGCGGGCAGCTGAGCAAAAATGGAGGAAAACTAAACTTCCGGAGGACCTATCATCCTTTCACTCCCTTCTCTCTACCTTCACTTCCTCTGTATCCGCTGCTAAAGCCACTTTCTAGCACTATGAATTTCAAGCTTCTGCCTCTAATCCTAGTAAACGCTTTTCCACCCCCTCCTCCTCCCTCTCTGTGGATCACTTTGTCAACCACTTTGAAAAGAACGTTGACGAAATCAACTACTCATTCACTCAGCCTGTTGAGTCCACTGGTCTCACTCACACAGAGCTACCCTACGCCTTGACCTCTTTCTCCCCTCTCTCTCCAGATGACATACTGCCACTAGTGAGGTCTGGCCCCCGACAACCTGCCCGCTCGACCCCATCCCCTCCTCCCTTCTCCAGACCATCTCTGGAGAACTACTCATTTCCCTCATCAACTCATCCCTGACCAATGGCTGCAAAATGGCCCGAGTCGCTCCCCTCCTCAAGAAACCAACACTCGACTTATCTTACGTCAAAAACTATAGACCTGTATCCCTTCTTTCTTTTCTTTCCAAAACACTTGAGCGTTCTGTCTCTGATCAACGTTCTCGTTATCTCTCTCAGAACGATCTTCTTGACCCTAACTAGTCAGGCTTCAATACGGTTCACTCAACCGAGACTGCTCTGTGTCACGGAGGCTCTTCGCACTGCCAAAGCTGACTCTCTCTCCCCTGTTCTCATCCTCCTAGATCTATCCACTGCCTTCGACACCGTGAACCATCAGATCCTCCTCTCCACCTTCTCAGGGCTGGGAGTCTCAGGCTCTGCACACTCTTGGATTGCATCCTACCTGGCAGGCCACTCCTACCAGGTGACGTGGAGAGGATCTGTGTCTACACCACGTACTCTCACTACTGGTATCTCCCAGGGCTCGGTCCTAGGCCCTCCTCTCTATACACCAAGTCACTCGGCTCCGTCATATCCTCACATGGTCTCTCTTATCATTGCTATGCTGATGACACTCCACTACTTTTCTCCTTCCCCCCTTCTGACACCCATGTGGTGACATGCATCTCTGCGTGCCTGGCAGATATCTCAGCTTGGATGTCGGCCCATCACCTCAAGCTCAACCTCGACAAGATGGAGCTGCTCTTGCTCCCGGGGAAGGCCTGCCCGCTCAAAGACCTCTCCATTACGGTTGACAACTCCACAGTGTCGCCCTCCGAGAGTGCAAAGAACCTTGGCGTGACCCTGGACAACACCCTGTCATTCTCTGTAAACATCAAAGCAGTGACTCGCTCCTGCGGGTTCTTGCTCTACAACATCCATAGAGTACGACCCTACCTCACACAGGAAGCGGCGCAGGTCCTCCAGGCACTTGTCCTCTCCCCTCTGGACTACTGAAACTCGCTGTTGGCTGGGCTCCCTGCTGGAATCAAATAAATGGAACGGAGTCAAACGTGGTTTCCATATGTTTGATGTGTTAGACACCGTTCCATTTATGCCATTACAGTATTTACAATGAGCCTGTCCTATAACTCCTCCCACCAGCCTTGTCTGGTATACACAGTTGCTTAACTTGCTTGCTACAAAACACATACAGATGTAGGATCTTCATTTGATCACCCTATTGTATGAGAATTGTCCTGCAATTGTCCTGCAACACTTGTAGTGTATTTGAGTTTAAAAGGTGTCTAAAGTTTGTAATTTCCACTTCGAAGGTGGGAGGTAGCCTAGCGGTTAAGAGTGTTGGGCCAGTAACCAAAGGTTTGCTGGTTTGAATCCCGAGCCAACTAGGTGAAAAATCTGTAGGTGTACCCCTGAGCAAGGCACTTAACCATAATTGCTCCTGTAAGTCGCTCTGGATAAGAGTGTCTGCTAAATGACTAAAATGTAATTTTACCTTACGAAAAATGTATCATCCGCTAAAAAATTTCCATTAATTACAATCCACATAATAATTAACATTTCCTATTGCTGCAGGATTATTTTCCTGCTGTTGGAGACTGGCACAAATTAAGATCCTACACATGAACAGTCATTTAAATGAAGATAAGATCATATGCATAGAGATTTCCAGAGTGATGCTTATTTGGTATTGTCTACTAGGGTTGGAGTCGCCATATTGGACTCTATAGGGAACTGCTTAGAACATTTTTCTGATGCAACAGTGCCACCATGTGACCAAAGTCCGTTGTAATTTTTGTGCTTTGTCATTTCAGTTGAAAGTCACGACTCAGAATGATGTGAATTGCCAAAGTAGAGCTATGCTATTAGAAACCAAGGAGTCCAGTCATATTATCCAAGGCTGCAGGTATACTGCCAACATAATGCTATGATAATGTGTGTTAATATAATGTCTGCATAATGACGTTGCACACATTAGAACTGTTATAACCACACTTGAGATGGTTCACATTTGCAATTGGGTTGACCAGTTATTGTTTTAATCTGCCATGATTATGAAACAGGTAAACGTATAAAACAGGCAAGTGGATCAGAAAGTGATTTGATCTCCATGTTTGTTAAGATACACTACATGGCCAAAAGTATGTGGACACCTGCTCTTCGAATATCTAATTCCAAAATTATTGGCATTAATATGGAGTTTGTCCCCCCCCCCTTTGCTGCTGTAACAGCCTCCACTCTTCTGGGAAGGCTTTCCACTTGCTGCGGGGACTTGCTTCCATTTAGCCACGAGCATTAGTAAGGTCGGGCACTGATGTTTGGCGATTAGGCCTGGCTCATTCGGCGTTCCAATTAATCCCAAAGGTGTTCGATAGGGTTGAGGACAGGGCTCTGTGCAGGCCAGTCAAGTTCTTCCACACAGATCTTGACAAACCATTTCTGTATGGACCTCGCTTTGTGCACAGGGGCATTGTCATGCTGAAACAGGAAAGGGCCTTCCCCAAACTCTTGCCACAAAGTTGGAAGCACAGAATCGTCTAGAACGTCATTGTTTCCTGTAGCGTTAAGATTTCCCTTCACTGGAACTAAGGGGCCTAGCCCGAACCATGAAAAACAGCCCCAGACCATTATTCCTCCTCCACCAAACTTTACAGATGGCACTATGCATTCGGGCAGGTAGCGTTCTCCAGGCATCCGCCAAATCCAGATTCGTCCGTCGAACTGCCAGATGGTGAAGTGTGATTCATCACTCCAGAGAACACGTTTCCACTGCTCCAATGG